AAAAATAAGGAAATACATTTGATGGAAATACAAGCTGCAATTCAAGTTAAGAATACTTTGGACAAAGTTATCAAACCCGGGTGGACGTGCCGGAGTGGTTATCGGGCATGACTAGAAATCATGACGTAGATTCGAATCCTGCCGTCCACATTTTTGCCATTCAAGCACGAAGAACATGTTTTTTTAAGGACAGTGTGCAGGCATTCAAGCACGAAGAACATGTTTTTTTAAAGACAATGTGCCGGAGTGGTTATAGTGCACTAGTGAGTAGTGACTACCATTCTACCACCCCATCTTTTACTATTTAAAGAGGGTTGCTTCCCGAGGTGTTTGGTGTCTTCCATACCTTGCGCCTCCCCCTCCTACCCTTCCAATATAATTTAAATGTCCGACCACAACTTCCCAACTTCCCTGTCCTTCCAAACTTTGTTCTTCTTGTTTGGGTCATTTCCTTCAAATATGAATCTGCCTCGGATTATATTTGGCCCATAAATTTGCACTCACTTAAAAGGGCCTTCGGTTCCATTCGGGTATGGGTCTATTCAAATCGGCTCACTCCAAAATCAACCCAACCTAAGCACACTTCTTTTTGTGTGCCTCTCCTTCGTTGTTATCCCCAAAACTGCCTTCTTCTCCCTCTTCCTTATCCTAATCTCTTCTTCCATATTTTTATTCGGCCCTTTCCAGAATCCATCATGAGACAGTTATATTTTCTTTAATTAGTTTAGTAAGTAAGTTGGTATTCATCCATACATACATCAAGAAATTGGCCAAGTAGTCATTTAAGGTCTCTTTAGTTTCAGTTTTTTATTGGTGTTTTTCCTTTATATTATTGCAGATACTAAAGCTGTTCGTGTTTGTCGAGAATTGTCTTCAGCTTAAAAGTGTTGCCGTCAAATTATGTAAGTTTGCAAATCTTTAAGGTATTGTCTTCAAGGTGTTATTATGAATTCCAACATCTCTCATTTTTGTCGATTTTAGGGTTTCCAAATGTAGTTTGCAAATCTTGAAGGTATTGTCTTTAAGGTGTTATTATGAATTCCAACATCTCTCATTTTTGTCGATTTTAGGGTTTCCAAATGTAAGCATCAATTTTTTCGTTTTCAATTTCTCAGTTGGAACTCCATTCAAGGTTGTGCCTTTTCAATTTCCAGCTCTGAGGTCTCTCATTTACATCAATTTTTCTATCACGTAAGTGGAAAGTTGCAACTTTCAAATCTTTCATGCGGATTCTTTATTTTGCTTTGGTTTTGGGGTTGGCGGAGGAATTGTCTGAAGCCATCACTTTGATACTACAATCACCACACACATTTGAATGATTTGCAGTGCCAAATGTTGCATTTTTTTTCCAAACAATTTCAGATACTTATAACAAGTTTTATGAGAATCTTGACGTCATAAATGGTTCGCAGTATCATTCATAGCCTAATAGTTTGCGACATTTTAGTACAATATGTTTTTAGGTATTTCTTATTTCATCGTTTTAATGTCCTTATCTTATGTTTTGTTTCGTGGTCCGTATGAGTGCATCGACTGTGACAACACTCATTTGTATATTTGATATTGATATGTATATGGGAAGCATGTTTTGGTTTAAGTAAATCTAGTTATGTTCCATCAATTTTGGGTCAAAATGAAAAATACTTCCACAGCATTGTTCGTCCTTCCATAATTTCTCCTTTTACTATCATTTCAGGTAAGATCTTCTAAACAGATTAGCAAAACTCTATTTGTTAAAGGAATTCTCTTTGAAGTTACCCCATCATCATATCAGGTTGGTTTCATTCATTTTTTTTCCAACTAAATACATTTTCTGTTCTTCATTATACAATACAGATCTCATATGTTCAAATTTCAAAATTAATTTCTTGCAATTGGGAATCAATAAGTCATTTGAGTCGTTTTTCCGTTTAATCAATGGGAATGATTTTTTTGTCTTTATCATTTCCTTATACATCATTATATATTCAAAATTATCGTATCAGGTTGGTTTCCTTCATTAATGAGGTTGGATTGCTTGGCTTTATCGTTTTGTTCACTGTATGGACACTTAATTGTTCAAATGGATCAATCATTTTTCATTTATAGGATTGACTTTCGCGCTGAAAAACCATTGAGATGATTCGTTTTATTTAAATGAGGGCGCTATCTATTTTTGAGATTTATAACTTAAATAATAACTGTTTTTTTTAATAATCATTTTCTTGGGTTGAATAAGCAAGTTGTAATAATTATATATCGTATGTCAAAAACGTAGTAAATACATTGAGGATAAAAGAAACTTCCTACGAATGGACTTGATTGAATCCAATTTTCAAAATCTTTACCATGCACATTAGTTTGATCATTTCCCCTGCCAAATGTTGCATTTGATCTCAAATACTTTCAGATGCTTATAATAGATTTTATGAAAAAAATTAGGTAATAAATGGTTGACGATATCGTTCAAATGGTTGATAGTTTGCAAGGTTATAGTAGAAACTATTTTTATGTATTTGTTATTTCATCATTCATATCTTCTTATCTTATGTTTTGTTTGGCTGCCCATATGAGTACATCCACATTTTACTACGTCAAAAACATTCAATTGTACATTTAATACTTCTTTGTATGTGGGAAGCATGTTTGGGTTTAACTAAATGTACTTATGTTCAATCAACTTACATTCAAAATGACAAATACTTCGTAACCATTCTTCTTATTTCCATAATTTCCCTTTTTTCTATCATATCATTTATCAGATAAGATCTTCTGAAGAGATTACCACAACTCTATTTCTTAAAGGAATTCTCTTACTAATCATCCCATCATCGTATAAGCTTCGTTTCCTTAATTTTCTTTTTTATATATCCAAAATTAATTTGTTGTGTTTCGTACTTTTATCTGTTCTTTACGCTTTCTTGCGAGGAAAACCGTACATAGGTTTGGATTGTTTCGCTTTATCCTTTTATCAAATACCATGCTTAGTTGTTTGAATGGATGAATGATTTTTTGTTAATAGGATTGATTTTTTCGATAAAAGAACAATTAAGATAATTCGATTCTTTTTTTGGCAGTGCAATTTCTGTTCGCAATATTTATACATCTTCTGTTCTTCATTATACATCTTCTGTTCTTATTTATACATCTTCTGTTTTGTTTTTACCAGTGCAATTTCTATTCTCAATACATCTTTTCTTCTTCATTATACAATATAGATCTCATATGTTCAAAATTGAAAATTAAACCTTCGTTTCCTTAGTCTTCTTTTTTATATATCCAAAATTAAAGTGTTGCATTTTGTATAGATGATTCGATCATTTTTTTACCAGTGCAATTTATGTGCTTGATTTTTATACCTTCAAATATAAAGTGTATTTTAAACATTTTTTTATACATTAATAGGGTTGGATTATACTACTACAGAAAAGCACATATATGACTGTTAAAAACAGTGATATATGTTTTTTTTTTTTAAACAACCATGATAAATACTGGGGTGATAAAAGAATTTCAAAACCGTGATAAATAATCAATTGTTATATCACGGTTCCTATTCCAAAACAGTGATATAA